GAAACAGTGTTGGCACCAGAGCTGAGGCCCTGGTCGGTGAGCACACAAACACTTGCCCTCCAAGTCTGAGTGGCAAAGTGTGTTTTGTTTGGAAATGGAGCTTGTTACTTAGATTGGGTTCCTGAGCTCGGTTTTGAATGGTGGCCGCTGTCACATTGATGAGAAACAGTGTTGGCACCAGAGCTGAGGCCCTGGTCGGTGAACACACAAACACTTGCCCTCCAAGTCTGAGTGGCAAAGTTTGTTTGGTTACGATATGGAGCTTGTTGCTTGGGTGCGTTGGCAGCTCGATGATTCGAATGGTGGCCGCTGTCACATTGATGAGAAACAGTGTTGGCACCAGAGCTGAGGCCCTGGTCGGTGAGCACACAAACACTTGCTCTCCAAGTCTGAGTGGCAAAGTTTGTTTTGCAAAGAAATGGAGCTTGTTGCTTGGATGCGTGGGCAGCTCGAGGTTTCGAGTGGTGGCCCTGTCACATTGATGAGAAACAGTGTTGGCACCAGAGCTGAGGCCCTGGTCGGTGAGCACACAAACACTTGCCCTCCAAGTCTGAGTGACAAAATATTTGTTGTTTGGAAATTGAGCTTGTTGCTTGGGTGCGTGAGCTCGATGTTTCGAGTAGTGGCCGCTGTCAGATTGATGAGAAGCAGTGTTGGCACCAGAGCTGAGGCCCTGGTCGGTGAGCACACAAACACTTGCCCTCCAAGTCTGAGTGGCAAAGTTTGTTTTGCAAAGAAATGGAGCTTGTTGCTTGGGTGCGTTGGAAGCTCGATGATTCGAATGGTGGACGCTGTCACATTGATGAGAAACAGTGTTGGCACCAGAGCTGAGGCCCTGGTCGGTGAGCACACAAACACTTGCCCTCCAAGTCTGAGTGGCAAAGTTTGTTTTGCAAAGAAATGGAGCTTGTTGCTTGGGTGCGTTGGAAGCTCGATGATTCGAATGGTGGACGCTGTCACATTGATGAGAAACAGTGTTGGCACCAGAGCTGAGGCCCTGGTCGGTGAGCACACAAACACTTGCCCTCCAAGTCTGAGTGGCAAAGTTTGTTTTGCAAAGAAATGGAGCTTGTTGCTTGGGTGCGTTGGCAGCTCGATGATTCGAATGGTGGCCGCTGTCACATTGATGAGAAACAGTGTTGGCACCAGAGCTGAGGCCCTGGTCGGTGAGCACACAAGCACTTGCCCTCCAAGTCTGAGTGGCAAAGTTTGTTTTGCAAAGAAACGGAGCTTGTTGCTTGGGTGTGTTGGAAGCTCGATGATTCGAATGGTGGACGCTGTCACATTGATGAGAAACAGTGTTGGCACCAGAGCTGAGGCCCTGGTCGGTGAGCACACAAACACTTGCCCTCCAAGTCTGAGTGGCAAAGTTTGTTTTGCAAAGAAATGGAGCTTGCTGCTTGGGTGCGTTGGCAGCTCGATGATTCGAATGGTGGCCGCTGTCACATTGATGAGAAACAGTGTTGGCACCAGAGCTGAGGCCCTGGTCGGTGAGCACACAAGCACTTGCCCTCCAAGTCTGAGTGGCAAAGTTTGTTTTGCAAAGAAACGGAGCTTGTTGCTTGGGTGTGTTGGAAGCTCGATGATTCGAATGGTGGACGCTGTCACATTGATGAGAAACAGTGTTGGCACCAGAGCTGAGGCCCTGGTCGGTGAGCACACAAACACTTGCCCTCCAAGTCTGAGTGGCAAAGTTTGTGTTGTTTCGATACGGAGCTTGTTGCTTGGGTGCGTGAGCTCGATGTTTCGAATAGTCGCCGCTGTCACATTGATGAGAAACAGTGTTGGCACCAGAGCTGAGGCCCTGGTCGGTGAGCACACAAACACTTGCCCTCCAAGTCTGAGTGGCAACATTTGTATTGTTACGATACGGAGCTTGTTGCTTGGATGCGTGAGCTCGATCATTCGAATGGTGGCCGCTAGCCGCTACCGATGAGAAAACAGTGTTGGCAACTAGAGTTATGCCCGTCGGTGAGCACACAAACACTTCCCCTCCAAGTCTGAGTGGACATTTGTTTTGTTTCGACACGGAGCTTGTTGCTTGGGTGCGTTGGCAGCTCGATGATTCGAATGGTGGCTGCTGTCACATTGATGAGAAACAGTGTTGGCACCCAGAGCTGAGGCCTCTGTTTGAGAGCGCTAGACACGTACCACTTGCACTTCAAGTCTGAGTGGCAACATTTGTTTCGCAAAGAAATGGAGCTTGCTGCTTGGGTGCGTGAGCTCGATGATTCGAATGGTGACCGCTGTCACATTGATGAGAACAGTGCTGGCACCAGAGTTGAGGCCTGGTCGGTGAGCACACAAACACTTGCCCTCCAAGTCTGAGTGGCAACATTTGTATTGTTACGATACGGAGCTTGTTGCTTGATGTGAGCTCGACTCATTCATTGCGCTTCTTCTGTCACATTGATGAGAACAGTGTTGGCACCAGAGCTGAGGTTCTGGTCGGTGAGCACATGCACTTGCCTCCAAGTCTGAGTGGTGGCGACGGTTTTGTTTCGACACGGGAGCTTGTTGCTTGGGTGCGTTGGCAGCTCGATGATTCGAATGGTGGCCGTATGTCGTTATCAGCGAGAATAGTGTTGGCACCAGAGCTGAGGCCCTGGTCGGTGAGCACACAAACACTTGCCCTCCAAGTCTGAGTGGCAACATTTGTTTTGCAAAGAAATGGAGCTTGTTGCTTGGGTGCGTTGGAAGCTCGATGATTCGAATGGTGGCCGCTGTCGCCTTGATGAGAAACAGTGTTGGCACCAGAGCTGAGGCCCTGGTCGGTGAGCACACAAACACTTGCCCTCCAAGTCTGAGTGGCAAAGATTGTTTTGCAAAGAAATGGAGCTTGCTGCTTGGGTGCGTGAGCTCGATGATTCGAATGGTGGACGCTGTCACATTGATGAGAAACAGTGTTGGCACCAGAGCTGAGGCCCTGGTCGGTGAGCACACAAACACTTGCCCTCCAAGTCTGAGTGGCAAAGTTTGTTTTGCAAAGAAATGGAGCTTGCTGCTTGGGTGCGTTGGCAGCTCGATGATTCGAATGGTGGCCGCTGTCACATTGCTGAGAAACAGTGTTGGCACCAGAGCTGAGGCCCTGGTCGGTGAGCACACAAACACTTGCCCTCCAAGTCTGAGTGGCAAAGTTTGGCTTGTTTCGAGACGGAGCTTGTTGCTTGGGTGCGTGAGCTCGATGTTTCGAATTGTCGCCGCTGTCACATTGATGAGAAACAGTGTTGGCACCAGAGCTGAGGCCCTGGTCGGTGAGCACACAAACACTTGCCCTCCAAGTCTGAGTGGCAAAGTTTGGCTTGTTTCGAGACGGAGCTTGTTGCTTGGGTGCGTGAGCTCGATGTTTCGAATTGTCGCCGCTGTCACATTGATGAGAAACAGTGTTGGCACCAGAGCTGAGGCCCTGGTCGGTGAGCACACAAACACTTGCCCTCCAAGTCTGAGCAAAAGATTGTCGGAAAGAAATGGTTTACGCGTTTAAAAGCAGAGTCGGAAAGTGATCTGAATGGTGGACGCTGTCACATTGATGAAACAGTGTTACACCCAGAGCTGAGGTCTGAGTCGTGAGTTATCGAACACTTGCCTCCAAGCCTGATGCAAAGAGTTTATAAAGAGTTATTTGTTGCTTGGGTGTGTTGGACGCTCGATGTTTCGAATGGTGGACGCTGTCACATTGATGAGAAACAGTGTTGGCACCAGAGCTGAGGCCCTGGTCGGTGAGCACACAAACACTTGCCCTCCAAGTCTGAGTGGCAAAGTTTGTTTTGCAAAGAAATGGAGCTTGTTGCTTAGGTGCGTGAGCTCGATGATTCGAATGGTGGCCGCTGTCACATTGATGAGAAACAGTGTTGGCACCAGAGCTGAGGCCCTGGTCGGTGAGCAGACAAACACTTGCCCTCCAAGTCTGAGTGGCAAAGTTTGTTTTGTTTCGATACGGGGCTCGTTGCTTGGGTGCAAGGGCAGTTCAATTTAAGACACCCCATGTCAATGTTTGTCTCTCAATCGACCAACATGTTATCAGCTCAACACGACCAGCATGAAACAACTCAAAGAAGCTCAAGCTAATCCGATCCAGAGG